CACAGCGCCACTTTCGGCTTTTTTCTTTTTGCTTATGTGGTGCTGAGGAATTGAACCCAGGGCCTCAGGCATGTAAGGCAAGCGCTCTACCACTGAGCCACCTTCCCAGCCCCTAAAATAAAAGTTTAATGACAAGAACAGAACTAGTAGCCTCATGTAAAAAAGACTTCCAAGATGTGGAAGATCTCTATCCAAAATGTTGCCTTCAACCCCTTGAGTTTTGTACCTTTTGATAATTGTCTTATTTGTTTCAGCTCTATGGAAACAAATTCTACTTTGTATAAACTTGTGGGATTTTGTTAGTACTTTAGGGTCTCCAGTGAATAAACTTAATCTCCTTTTAAAACTTTCATCCTTCTTGTATATACAGACTTTTTGTCGGTGGTTAGAGAATTCTTTGAAAGGTTTGCCAAAGGAGACAACTGTGGGAGCTGTCACAGTGACACACAAACAACTTACAGATTTCCACAAGCAAGTCACTAGGTGAGTCATGCTGGGGTCTATAAAAGGAGCATGAACAGCAGCTGAGGTATATAGAAAAACTATCTGTTTCTTTAAATGTCTTGTAAATTCAATTTAGTATCTGTTTGGCCTTGCATTGCACAAATTGGCACAAAAAGCCAGTCTGAGAAATCCCCATGTTATATATAGTCATATCACATCTACATATGAACTAACTGGCTTAAAGGTAAGTGAAGGCAATGGGCAGCTAGCTCAGTACCCTTTGGGGGATCTGTCTATGTCTCTTTAAGTCCTTAGGTCTCATCTGGCTTCAGGAATGAAGAGTGCAAATGCCTGAATTAGGTGAAGCACTGGCTATAAACCTTAAAAAGTAACGGTGACTGAAGTAAATCCAAGTACTTTTCCTATGCCTAGAGTTTTTTTTTAATTCTAATTTCAAAATTGTGTAAATGAAATACCACTCTGGTAATATAGGTCCATAAGGCCCATGCTGACAACTCTGGATCAAAGCTTAGTTAAAATGTTAAGTGTGAGTATTTTTTAACTATGAACATACAAACAGTTTAAACAGTTAACATAGTCTTCTGATCATCTCTATAAAGATGTTCCTTGATTCATTTCCTTTTAGTGCCTCTTAGTAGGTTTACTTTAGAATATTTTCAAATTTTCAATATTATTGATAAGATCAAGGTATAGTGAGACTTTGGTCCTTGGTATACATACGAGTTTAACCATGATATTTTACACATTAATTGGATTAACTCCTCCTCTGTTTTTTCCTGACCCACATTATTTTCAACAGCATTCCCTGGTGCTATCTTTATACACATACAAAACTTATTTCAGTATTATGTACATATACATACACACATCATTCTCTTTCCTGCTCCTTGTATCTAAAGTTTAGAATTTTGGCTAAATTTGAGACAATGACTCATATTCATATTGTTGTGGGAAGATATGTCAACCAAAGAATGAGCATTGTGAGGGGAAAATGGAAATATTCTAATTGACCATCAATAGGCCATGGTCAAATAATTCCTAAGATGTCTATACTAGTAAATAGTAACTTACACACACTGATACAGAAAACTACCTAATATATTGTAAAGAGGGAAGAAAAACATCTTGACATTTTCTTGTGTGCCAGTCTTGGAACTTGAACCTTTGCTCTTTTGTTAACAACTGGCTCTCTACCACTTGAACCATCCTCTAGTCAAGCATATTTACTAGTAAGTTGAAGATAGTATCTCTCTCTCTCTTTCTCTCTCTCTCTACATACATACATACATACATACATATATATACACACACACACACATACTCGCATAGCTTTTGGTGGTTTTGTTGTTGTTTTGTTTTTTTGATCATGGGCTTGAATTTTTTTTGTTTTTGTTTTTTTTCCCCCTTCCCTCCCTTTTTTTTTTTTTTTTGATCATGGGCTTGAACTCAGGGATTAGGTGCTGTCCCTGAGCTTTTTCACTCAAGGCTACTTGAGCCTTGCTCTGCTACTTTGAGCCACAGCTCCACTCCAGTTTTCTGGTGGTTAATTGGAGATTAACCACAGATTTTCGTGCCTGGGATGACGTCAAACCACAACCCTGAGATCTCAAATTCCTGAGTAGCTAGGATTACAACCATGTATCACTGGCGCCCAGCTTAGACTTTTTTTTTTTACTTGGCCAGCTTTGAACTGCAGTCCTCCAAGTCTCAGCCTCTTGAGTAGTTAGGCTTATAGGCATGAGACACTCAGTTAGCAACTATTTTCAGATGTTGTGTTAAGACTTTTAATTGTTGTGACAAAATATCTGAGAAAACAACTTGAGAGGAAGGATTTATTTAGACTCATGGGTTCAGTCCATGGTTGACTGGCTCTTGTTTCTCGGCTGTGGTGAGACACAACATCATACAGAAAGGCAGAGTTGCTCACCTAATGAGTACTCTCTGGGAGTAGAAAGAGCAGGGACAAAATACACTCTTTCAAAGACCTGCTTTCCTTCATCCAAGCCCTACCTCCAATAACCCATTCAGCTGGGAATTCATTGGATTCACCCATTGATGAAATCAGAGCTGTCATGCGATTTAGTCCCTCACATTAGCACCATAAGCTTGATGGTATCTTCCACAAATAAGTCTTTTGTTGGTGGTGCTGGTGGTGCTGGTTATCATTGTCCTAGGGCTTAAACTGTGGGCCTGGGCACTATCCCTCAGCTCTTCACCTCAAGGCTAGCACTCTACCCCCTTGAGCCACAGCACTACTTCCAGTTTTCTGGTGGTTTATTGGAGATAAGAGTCTCATGAACTTTCCTGCCTGAGCTGGCTTTGAACCATGATCCTCAGATCTCAACCTCCTGAGTACCTAGGTTACAGGTGTGAGCCACCAGAGACTGGCAACAAATAAGCTTTTGGGGTGGAGGGCACTTAATACCCAAACTACAACAATTCAGTAGTATTAAGGTACTATGCAGCCAATATTTTTACCTTGCAAAACTGAAACTGTACCCATTAGCATGGTTCCCTATTCTCCCTTTCACACATCAGCAATTACCATCCTACTTGAAGATTCTTTGAATGTGATTACCCTACAACCTTTTATGGCTTATTTCATTCACCATAATGTTTTTCAGAGTTTATACATGTGGTACTGTGTGTAAGAATTTCTTTTTTATCCATTCTTGTTGCCTTTGCCTCTGTCTCCCAAGTGCTAAGATTATAGAAGTGCACTACCACATTACCTTATTTATCCAGTCTTTAAAAAAAATATTGTCCAGTCTTTTGTTTGTATACATTGAGGTTGATTCCTTCCCTTGGCTACTGTGAAAAATGTTGCTATAAACACATATACAAACATCTATGAAATCCTGCTTTCATTTCTTTTGGATTTACATTGAGAAGTGGAGTTGTTAGATGATGTAGCAAGCCTTTTTTTTCCCCCTGTCCTGGTGTTTGAACTCAGGCCTGAGCACTGTCCTTGAGTTTTTTACTCAAGGCTAGCACTATTCTTTTTTTTTTTTTCCTTTGGGGGGGGGGATCCGTTCGTGGGGCTTGAACTCTGGGCCTGGGCGCTGTCCCTCACCTCTTCAGCTCAAGGCTAGTGCTCTACCACTTGAGCCACAGCGCCATTTCCGGCTTTTTTCTTTTTGCTTATGTGGTGCTGAGGAATTGAACCCAGGGCCTCAGACTTCAGAGCAGTATCCTTAGATCAGACGAGATCGGGCACGTTCAGGGTGGTATGGCCGTAGACAGCAGTATCCTCAGATAGCCTTCTGAGTAGCATGGTGGTGTGAGCTATCAGTGCCTAGCTATGACCCTATTTTAAAAATTATTTTGAGGAACCATTTTCCATAGTGGCTGAACCATTTTAAAGACCCTCCAGCATTGTACTTGGTTTAATTTTACCATATCCTTGCCAACACAATTGTTTTAGGTGCTAGAAATTTTGTTGTGCTTTTTTTTTTTTTGTCTGTTTTATAGACAGCCACCATAACCCATGAAGCTACATATCTTACTGTGGGTTTGACTTAAAGTTCCTTAATAATTAGTGATCTTTAGTATTCTTGCATATATAGATTATTTAACTACGTATCTCTTATAGAAAAATAGTTCTTCAAATGATAAAGATAAATAGTTTTTTGTTTTATTTTTTGCTGATGGTTCTGGAGCTTGAAACTCAGGGCCTGGGCACTGTCCTTGAGTTTTTTTTTACTTAAGCCTAGCACTCTACCTCTTGAGCCCATAGTCCACTTCCAGCTTTTTGGTTGTTAATGGAGATAAGAGTCTCATAGACTTTCCGGCCCTGGCTGGTTTCAAACCACAATCCTCAGATCTCTTGAGTAGCTAGGATTATAGATGAGATCTACCAGGGTCCACTCCCCTGATGATTTTTAAATTGAGGTGTTTTTTTTGTTGTTATTGAGTTATAGGAGCTGCTATGTCTTTGGTATATTAATTTTTTTATCAGGTGATTTGCAAACATTTTCTACCATTCTGCAGGTTGCCTTTATAGTCTGTTACATTCTTTGGTTTTGTGATTACTTTGTTTTGTTTTCTTGCAGGTCCTGGGTTTAAACTCAGGGCCCACTATCCCTGCTTCTTGGAGCCACAGCAACAGTTCCTGCTTTTTGGTAGTTAATTGGAGATAAGATTCTTATAGACTTTCCTGCTCTGGCTGACTTTAAACCTTAGGGAGTGGTGTTTTTATTTATTTTTTATTTTTTTGCAGTTAAGAATTAAATCCATAACATTGTGTGTTGTAAGGCAAGCACTCTACCCCTGGGCAATATCATTAACCCCTGAAATTTGATGTATATCCTGGCTTATCTGTTTTTACTTTTGTTGCTTGTATTCTTTGTCACATCTAGGAAATTACTGCCATATCTAATGTCCTAAGTTTGTAACCTAGGTTTTCTGCAAAGAGTTGTAACTTTTTTTTTTTTTTTTGGTCGGTCGTGGGGCTTGAACTCTGAGCCTGGGCACTGTCCCTCAGCTCTTCAGCTCAAGGTTAGCACTCTACCACTTGAGCCACAGCACCACTTCCCGTTTTCTGGTAGTTAATTGGAGCTAAGTGTCTCATAGATTTTTCTGCCCACGCTGGCTTTGAACCATGATCCTCAGATCTCAGCCTCCTAAGTAGATAGGATTACAGGCGTTGAGCCTCTGACACCGGCCTGAGTTGTAACTTTTTATAACTTTTTTTTTTACTTATTTTTTTGTATATGATTAGGTAAAGATCCAGCCTCCTAGCCAGTGCCAGTGGCTCACAAATATAATACTAGCTACTCAGGATGCTACAATCTGAAGATTGTGGTTCAAAGCCAGTGTGGGCAGGAAGGTCATGAGACTCTTTTATCCAATTAACCACCAAAAAGGCTGTTAAGTGGAGGTTTGACTGAAGTGGTAGAGTGACAGCCTTGAGCACAAAAGCTAAGGGATGGTACCTAAGCCCTGAGTTCAAGTTCCAACACACACACACACACACACACACCACCTAGCTTCCTTTTACATGTGGATACACACACACA